CATGATTTGCAGTGTGTGCATGTGTGGACATGTGTGTGCATCTGTCGCATGTGGGTGTGGATGCATGTGCATGTATGTGTGGATTGTGTATGTGGGCGTGTGCCCACATGTGTTCTATGTGTGTGCATGTGTGGGCTGTACATGCGTGTGTGTAGATTTGCAGTGTGTGCATGTGTGTGCGGTGTGCACAGCGTGTGTGCCTGTATGGACATGTGTGTGCATCTGCATGTGTGCGTGCATGTACATGTGTGGATTTGTGTGTGCATGTGTGTTGTGCACAATGTGTATGTGTGCAGCGTGTACCCATGTGTATGTATGTGTTCATGCGCGCATGTGGATGTGTGCACGTGCATGTGTGTTTATGCGCACGTGTGGATATGTGTGTGTGTTGTGCGCACACTCTGTCCGGGTTGAAGCTTGTGCTGTGTCCCGGGGCCTGGGCCCAGGGGATCCAGTAGCGAGGGGGCCAGGCAGAAGGGCAATGGATGCTATGACCGCCTGCCTCCCCCTTGCTGCCCTGCAGAGCCCTACAGTCCAGCCGTTTGGGTCATGATGTTCGTCATGTGTCTGACCGTGGTGGCCGTCACTGTCTTCATATTTGAGTACCTCAGTCCTGTGGGTTACAACCGCAGCCTGGCCACCGGCAAGCGTGAGTGCTCCTGCCCCACCCCCAGCACCTCCCCTTCCAGCCAATGGCCTGGGCCAAGCCTCAAGCTATAGGCCACCTCCCTTCCCTCTCCCGGGGCTCACTCATAGACCTCAGCTCCTGGCCCCTAAGGGCCCCAACTCCCCGTGTCCCCCGACCTCTCAGGCCCTGGCCCCTAGCCCATAAGCAGCCCTGCTCAGGGCCCCAACTCCCCACATCCCCCAACCTCTCAGCCTCTGGCCACTAGCCTGTAAGCAGCCCTGCTCAGGGCCCCAACTCCCCACGTCCCCCGACCTCTCAGGCCCTGGTGGCTCCACCTTCACCATCGGCAAGTCCATCTGGCTGCTCTGGGCCTTGGTCTTCAACAACTCTGTGCCTGTGGAGAACCCCCGTGGGACCACCAGCAAGATCATGGTCCTGGTCTGGGCCTTCTTTGCCGTCATCTTCCTGGCCAGCTACACGGCCAATCTGGCAGCTTTCATGATCCAAGAGGAGTATGTAGACACCGTGTCTGGGCTCAGTGACCGGAAGGTGGGCACGGAGCCCGTGTGGGGGCGGGGGGCCGGGCACATCTGCCCCTCTGGGTGGTCTGGGGCCAAGCCTTGCTCAAGGCGCCCCCCCCCTTCCCTCCGCCTCCAGTTCCAGCGGCCCCAAGAGCAATACCCGCCCCTGAGGTTCGGCACCGTACCCAACGGGTCCACGGAGAAGAACATACGCAGCAACTACGAGGCTATGTACAACTACATGGTGCGCTACAACCAGCCCCGCGTGGAGGAGGCGCTGATCCAGCTGAAGGCCGGGTCCGCGGCTGGGCTGAGGCGGGGCTGGGGAGGGGCTGCCCAGGCAGCATGGAGAGGCAGGTCGGCGAGGGCTGGTCAGGAAGACCAGTGAGAGCTGGGGAGGTCGGCAGGGCCCGCTGTGGGGCCAGTGGGAGTCCAGGAGAGGGCAAGAGGGTCAGGGAGGGCCCTTGAAGGAAGGACGGGGTGACTGCGCAGAGTTAGAGGGGTTGAAGGTCGATGGGGTCATTAGAGGCAGTGAGGGGACAGTGTGGTTTGGGGGACTACTGGGGTCCATGAGAGTGGGGGATCAGGATGAGGTCAGATTCGTGGGGCTCAGGGTATATTAGGGAGATGGCCTGGAGGCAGGAGAGCCTTCTGCCCAGGTTAGCTGGTGCCATGATGGCTGCTGGCAGGTGTGGGCACGGGCTCAGCCATCTCCAGGTGCCAGGGCTGACCCGTCCTCCCTGGCTCGGCCCGGCCCCCCAGGAAGCTGGACGCCTTCATCTACGACGCCGCGGTTCTCAACTACATGGCCCGCAAGGACGAGGGCTGCAAACTGGTGACCATTGGCTCGGGCAAGGTCTTTGCCACCACGGGCTATGGCATCGCCCTGCAGAAGGGCTCCCGCTGGAAGCGGCCCATCGATCTGGCTCTGCTGCAGTTCTTAGGGGACGGTAGGCGGCCTGGGGGCAGAGGAGGGGAGAGCGGGGTGGAGGGTCTGGGCCTCTGGGTCTCAGAGGGGTGAGGGCTGAGGGAAGGGGGGGGAGGGAGGGGAGAGCGGGGAGTGGAGGGTCTGGGGAAGGCTGGGTTGGGCTTGAGCCCAGGCGCCCTACAGATGAGATCGAGATGCTGGAGCGCCTGTGGCTGTCTGGGATTTGCCACAATGACAAGATCGAGGTGATGAGCAGCAAGCTGGACATTGACAACATGGCCGGGGTCTTCTACATGCTGCTTGTGGCCATGGGCCTCTCCCTGCTGGTCTTTGCTTGGGAGCACCTGGTCTACTGGAGACTGCGCCACTGCCTGGGCCCCACCCACCACCTGGACTTCCTGCTGGCCTTCTCCAGGGTGAGCCTGGGACCGGGGCACGGGGGTGGGGTGCGGGGACGGGCCTTGGCCAGGCACCGGCTGAGGGGGCTCCCTCTCCTTTCTCCCCTCCAGGGCATGTATAGCTGTTGTAGCGCCGAAGCTGCCCCTCCAGCCGCCAAGCCCCTGCCCCCCCAGCCCCTGCCCCTGCCCAGCCCAGCCTACCCAGCTCCCCGTCCGGCCCCGGCACCCACGGCCCCCGGCCCCTTCCTGCCCCGGGAGCGGGTGGCGGTGGACCGTTGGCGCCGGCCCAAGCCATCCGCGGGGCCTGGGGCTGGGCCCGTACCTGTCCCGGTCACCCCTGAGGCCTCAGGCCCCCCTCGTGCCCCCCTCCCAGGAGCCATGGCCGACAGCTTCCACCGCTACTATGGGCCCATTGAGCCACAGGGCCTGGGGGAGCCCCGGGCATCTCGCTTGGCCCGGCCCATGTCCCCGCCTCCTCCGCCCCAGAAGCCCCCTCCTTCTTACTTTGCCATTGTGAGAGAGAAGGAGGCTTCGGGCCCTAGCGAACCAGCCCCTGCCCCTTATGCTGGATACCCCTCCCCACCTGCTCCACCCGCCGCCCCGCTCTGTCACCTGGCTTACGAGGATGAGAGCCCCCCGGCCCCAACCCGCTGGCCCCGCTCGGACCCCGAGAGCCAGCCCCTGCTTCGGGGGGCCGGTGGCGGGGGGGGCTCTGCAGCTCCTCCTCCACCACCTTGCCGAGCACCTCCCCCACCCTGCCCCTACCTGGACCTCGAATTGTCCGACTCCGATGACTCGGAGAGCTTGGGGGCCGGCTCGGGAGCTGGCCTAGAGCCCTGGTGGGTCCCCGATTTCTATCCGTATGCCGACCGCTTGGGTCGCTACTGGTCTGTTGACAAGCTGGGGGGCTGGCGGGCAGGCAGCTGGGACTACCTGCCCCCTCGCCCTGGCCCAGCAGCCTGGCATTGTCGCCACTGTGCCAGCCTGGAGCTGCTCCCCCCTCCACGCCACCTCAGCTGCTCCCACGATGGTCTGGATGGTGGCTGGTGGGCCCCACCCCACCCCCCGCCCCCTCCGTGGGCTGCCGGGCCCCACCGACGACGCACCCGCTGCCGCTGCCCAAGGGGCCACCGGGCTCCCAGCCGTCGATCTGGCCAAGCCCCGCATCGGCGGCGCCACGCAGGGGCGTGGGACCTCCCGCCACCTGCACCTACTTCCCGTTCCCTGGAGGACCTGAGCTCTTGTCCCCGGGCGGCCCCGGTCCATAGCCGCCACTCTCGCCGGTGCCCCCACGCTACCCACTGGGGCCCTATGCCCCGGAGACACCGTGGGGGCGACCTGGGTACCCGCCGTGGCTCTGCCCACTTCTCCAGCCTCGAGTCTGAGGTATGACCGACCCTGTCCCCCCCTCCCCTGGCACGGCATGGAGAAGGCACTCCCAGGGCAGACGGCCTGTGGATGGATGCAGCGCGAGGGCCCCGGGGCCAAGGACCACAGATCAGCAGCAAAACCATGGAAACGGGGGCAGGCAGCTCTTTCCTTTGGAACCGAGGGGCCACAGACCCAGCACGGCCTGGCCACGGACCAGACGCTGATGAGACAGAGCCAGGGGGGGCTGCGACAGGGGTCCCTGAGCCCCGCGGGCTTTTTTAACCTGACAAGGGCTTTTTAATGTCATGGGAAGGGGGGGGTCTGACTGAGCACATACCCCTCCCCTCTGCCCCAGCCCCATCTTGTGGGGCTCCTGCACCATCACTGTGCTGCTCCCCGTGCCCCAGATACCACCAGGGACCACCCCCCAGGGGAGAGGGGGCTGTTTTTAACCTTCATCATTGGGACACAAAACTGTGAGAGCCGCTCGCTAAACTGTGACCCCCCCCCAACCCTGAGACTCTGACCCCAAGACTGTGACCCCTGACCCTGAGACTGTGACCCTTGACCCCAGACTGTGAGCCTGACCCCTTATCCCTAGCCTCTGACTCCTGAGACTGTTACCCCTGAACCCAAGACCGTCCCCAATCCCAATCTCTGCCAGACACCTTGGGGTCTACCCGAACTGAACTCTGATCCTCCCCCTTCTTTGACCCCTAATCCTAAACTACCCCAGGCTTCCCTTCACTGTACTCCTGGACATCCTCCCAGACCACACGTCCCCTCCCCCACTCCCTAACTGACCTCCAGTGTCCAACCTCAGAACCTGGCCTGGGCCCCAGAAGCCCACCCAGCCCCACCCTGCAGCAGGGGCGGGACCTGGGGGGTGGGGGCTCAGGTGTCCAACCCCGATGGAATAAACCAAGTTTTTATGCCTCCTCAGCCCGGAGCCCCGGACTCCTCATCTTGTACACTGGGCAGCAAAACCCGAAGGCAGCAGACAGACGGACAGACAAAGGAAGAGAGAGAGAAAGACAGAAGGAGACAGAGAATGGGGGAGGCAGAGAGGAAGAGAGAGAGATAGAGGAAGATGGAGAAAGCACAGAGAGAGACAGAGACAGAGGAAGAGAGAAAGAAAAAAACAGACAGAGACAGAGACAGGGAGGAAGAAAGAGACAGAGAGAAGGAAAGAGAGAGAGAAGGGGGAGGGAGGGACACACACGCACACACACGCACGCACACGCACGCACAGTCAGCGGGCCTCCGTGGCGTGGCTTTGGGGCTGGGTGCATGGACAAGGCTCCACGTGCCTCAGGCCAGAGACCTTAGCCCTGCACAGGAGGACAACAGGCTCGAAAATAGTAATGCACTGGGAAGTCCACAGCCATTTGGGTGTGTAGGATGAGGAAAAGCCTCCAGTGGAAGGGGACGTCTGAGCAGACCTTTGAGGGAAGCCAGGGGCTCCAGGAGATAGGAGATGGGACAGGAGCAGCCAGGGCAGTTTGGCTGGGTTAGAGGGCACGAGAAAAGGCAAAGGTAAGTTAGAGGTGGGTGATGAAGTGCTCAGAATGCCCAGCAGAGGATTTTGGCATCCTGAAGGTCATAGGGAATTGCTGGGGGTGGGGGCGGGGGTGACGTGGTCAGACTTGGGCAGATCACTGTGGCCTCTGAATGTCTAAGAATGAACTGGGGTGGGAGAGAACCTCCCCCACCCGGCCAAGCTCTTACCATTAGTGCAGGCATGAGGTATGTGACGGCCTGCGCCAGGGTGAAGGGCGGCATCAGAGGAGAGGTGGGGCGTATTCCCGAGATGCTGCAGAGGTGAAATCGACGGGCCTTGGCACCATATCGGATGTGGGGGATGAGAGAGAGCGAGGAGTCGGAGGACGGCGTCGCCCTCTACAGTAACAGGGAACGTCAGATGGGGCAGGCGTCCTGTTTTGGACGTATTAAGTTTTAAGATATCTACTGGACACATCTAGTTGGAAATGTGTGAAAGGCAGTTGGGGATATGAGGTTGGAGGTCAGCAGAGAAATTGGGGCAGGAGAGGCAGGCTTTGAGAATCTTTAACACAGAGATGGTCATTAAATCCGTGGGAGCCCCCACTGCATCCTGGGCCATCTCCAGTCGCCCTGATCTGTATCTGGCCACTGGACCTGATGGCTCCAGAGGAGACATGGAGGCTGGGGCCTTTGCACAGCCCTGCCTCACTTCAATCCAATTCAATGCAAGTCATGGCATCACCTTCCTGATGTCATGGTCCCCTTTGAGAATGAAGGACTGAGCACCACCACCACAGCAAATCCACGGAGCTGAGGAGATCCCCAAATGAGGTAGGACAGAGCCCTGAAGGCCACCTTTGGGGAGAGGGCATGGTCTGGAGGAGGATGCAGCAAAGGAGGGAGAGGAGGAGCGGTCAGGGAGGGAGGAGGAGAACCGGGAGAGGGTCCTGAAAACCCAGAGAGAAGAGGGCATCCAGGGGGAGAGGGGCATCCACAGGGAGGCCCGGGAGGACGAGGAGAGAGGAAAGGCCGCTGCATTTGGCCACTGCCTGATCACTGGTCACTTGGGGGAGGGCAGTTTGGGTGGAATGATGGGGTCAGAGGTCAGATAGAAGGGCGTGAGAGGAGAAAGTGGAGGCGTTAGTCCGGATCCCTAGGAAAGAAGAAAGCCAGGAGAGGGCGCCAGGCCCGCCCTCCCCTGGGGAAGCTCCCAGGCTTTCTGCCCATACTCAAGGGGGGCGGGGCCGGTCCGTTCTCATTCAGAACTACGACTCCCGGCATGCCGTGCGCGTTCCAGCCAATCCTCGGAGCCTCGCCGGACAGGGCCGTCGCCATGGTGACGGGCGGAGGGGGCGGAGCCCGGGCCGCTGCGCGCAGACTCCAAGATGGCGGCGCGCAAGGGTTCCGGTCGCACGTGTAAAGGCAAGGCCAAGACCCCGAGCAGCCCGCCGCGCGTGTACCTCCCGGGCCGGGGCCCGCCGCTGCAGGAGGACGAGGAGCTGGTGCGGGACCAGGAGGCCTACGTGCTGTACCACCGCGCGCAGACCGGTGCGGGAGAAGAGAGGAGTGGAGATGGGGGAGAGACCCGGGGGGGAGGGGACGTTGGGAAGGTCGGGGAGGGGGGAAGAGGTGGGGGAAGGGGGAGGGGCGGGGCGCTCCTTGGGACACTCTCCCCCCTCCCTGGCAGGCTCGCCATGCCTCAGCTTCGACGTTGTCCGAGACCAGCTCGGGGACTCCCGCAGCGACTTTCCCCTGTGCCTGTACCTGTGTGCCGGGACCCAGGCGCCCAGTGCTCAGAGCAACAGGTGTGTTGGGAGCCCTGGGCCCCCCCCACCATCCTCTGGGGGGGCCGCTTTTAGGCAGACTTCTCTTGACCCTTCCCACCCCCCAGTCTCTGTAAGAGCCTGAGGTCGATGGGGCGGGCGGGGGTCTTGGAGCCTCTTCACCCCTCCATCCTCTCCCAGCCCTCTTCTCCCCCTGCCGGGACTGGCCCCCCAGCTCTGAATCCCACCTTCTCCCTCCAGGCTGATGGTGATGCGAATGCATAACCTCCACGGGACCCCGAAAAGTGAGGCCTCTGAGGACAGTGAGAGTGAGAGCGAGGAGGAAGATGAAGAAGATGAGAAGAAGCCCCAGCTGGAGCTGGCCATGGTCCCCCACTACGGAGCCGTTAACCGTGTCCGGGTAACTGACGTGTCACGTGGGGGAGCCTGGTTCTCCTTGCTGGGGCAGCTGCTGAGAACGGCCAGACGCCTAATCATGTTCTCTTGCCCTTCCCTTCCCTCTCCCTCAGGTTGCATGGCTCGGGGAGACCCCTGTGGCAGGGGTGTGGTCTGAGAAAGGCCAGGTGGAGGTGTTTTCCCTACGTAGGCCCCTGGAAGCAGTGGATGACCCCCAGGTCCTGGCAGCATTCTTGAGGGATGAGCAGGCCCAGACCCGGCCCTTGTTTGCCTTTGCTGGCCACATGGCTGAGGGCTTTGCCCTGGACTGGTCCCCCCGGGTGCCCGGTGAGGCCCTGAGTAGGAAGGAGGGTTTGACTTGGCTTGGAGAGAGGTGGAAACGATGGTTGGGGGGCGGGGGTGAAAACTACCGAGAAGAATCTTTTTCCCAAGCAGTGGATGGTATGTGACAGTCTGTCTGGAACGCAGGTCGCCTGCTGACTGGTGACTGTCAAAAAAACATTCACCTCTGGACACCTACCGATGGGGGCTCTTGGCACGTGGACCAGCGGCCATTTGCTGCTCATTCCCGCTCTGTGGAGGATCTGCAGTGGTCGCCAACTGAGGACACGGTGAGGTTGCCAGGCAGGGCTCTCTGAGATGCTGGGAACTGGGAGGCTGGCCACAGATAGGGTCCTTTTTGGGGGAACAAGTGCTTATCACGTGCCTACTGTATACCAGGCACTGTGTACTAGTGCCTTACAAATTGTATTTCGTCTGATCTTCACAACACTGGGAGGCAGATGCTATTACAGTCCCCGTTTTACAGTTGAGAAAACTGAGGCAAGCAGAGGTGAATTGACTTGCCCAGGGTTGCACAGCTAGTAAGAGTCTGAGGCTGGATTTGAATTTAGGTCTAGGCCTTGTGCATAGAGCGCTGGGCCTTTAGACTTGCCCTTGTGGAGGAGATGGCTGTGGGGATGGATACCTGCAACAATGAAGGTCTTCCCACTGCTCTCAGGTGTTTGCGTCGTGTTCAGCCGATGCCTCCATCCGAATATGGGACATCCGGGCAGCGCCAAACCGGGCCTGCATGCTCACGGCCCCCTCTGCCCATGACGCAGATGTCAATGTCATCAGCTGGAGCCGTCGGGAGACGTCCTTCCTGCTCAGCGGAGGTGATGATGGTGCCCTCAAAGTCTGGGATCTCAGGCAGTTCACGGTGAGCCCCCACCCTGGGCCAATCCAGGAGCTGCCCCAACATAGAACGACCACCTAGAGGACCGTGGGTAGGGGAGGCCTATAAGCACGGGCTGGAGGACGTGTCAGGGACATAGTGGGCATTCCTTAGACTAGATGTCGGGTGAGGGCCTTCCATCTCTGTGATTTTGATGCACACGTACGGGAATGCCTATGTACGTGCACATGTACAACGTATACTGCGTGTGCATAGATCATGTGAGCACAGGAATGTGTATGCAATGTGTGCGTGCGCATATATGTGTGTGTGTGCGCGAGACAGTCCCTTGCTGTCGCAGATTTCTGGAGTGCAGCAGCCATTTCGGTTTGTGACCACTCCCACTGCTCTGGGACTCAGTGTCCTTGGCTGTAAAGACACGGGAAGGTAGACTCAGTGGTCCATTTGTAAATTCTCAGTCCTCAGCAGCCTCCTGGTGCTTAGTTGGCCCTCAGGACCAAGACTTGGGAGTTGCCATTGGTTCTTTTTCTGTGTGGGCTCCACAGACTCCTTTTTTTTGTTTGTTTTTGACTAGCCAGCGGGGTTAAGTGACTTGCCCAGGGTCACACAGCTGTAAGTGCCAAGTGTCTGAACTCAGTTGAACTCCTGACTCCAGGGCCAGTGCTCTATGCACTGTGCCATGTGGCTGCCCCTCCATAGACTCTTAAACCTGGGGGCTCGGGGATCAGGTTCAGCTTCCTCATTTTATTGCTGGGAAGCTTCAGCCCAGAGAGGAAGGAGCCTTTGACCCTGGTAGAGAGCCACAGTATCTTGGAGTGCCCTCAGAGATCCTCCAGTCCAGTCCCTTCTTTGTACAGAGTGGTAAACTGAGGCACGGGGTGTGACGGCTTTCCCGAGGGGTCCCAAGCTCTGGGGCTGGGCTCTCTCCAAACCCTGTGTGGCTCACGCCCCACCTCGTCCTGCAGAGCAGCTCCCCAGTGGCCACCTTCAAGCAGCATGTGGCCCCCGTGACCTCCGTGGAGTGGCACCCCCAGGATGGCGGGGTCTTTGCGGCAGCGGGGGCAGATGACCAGCTGACCCAGTGGGATCTGGCTGTGGAGAGGGACCCCGAGATGGGCAGCCCAGAGGAGGGGGATCCCCTGGTGGCAGAGCTCCCCCAGCAGCTGCTGTTCGTGCACCAAGGGGAGACGGACATCAAGGAGCTGCACTGGCACCCCCAGTGCCCGGGCGTCCTCATCAGCACGGCCTTGTCTGGCTTCACGGTCTTCCGCACCATCAGCGTCTGAAGCCTGCACCTGGGGAGGCGTCTGGGCCGCCTTGGTCCCTTCCCCTGCTCCCCAGCCACGGCCTGGGGTGCCCTGCTTGGCCACGAAGGGGCCTGTCCTCTTCACTTGTTAGTGAACAGGACCTGCTTCAGCCTCTTTCCCTTGGGGGGGGTTGGTTGGACACATTTGCCTTCAGAGATGGGAGGTGGCTCAGCCTGGCCCCCCACGCCAGGGTGTGGTTTGGCCCAGCTGCTTTCAGGAATGGACTGGTTCCCCCCAGCCTCCAGTGCGCGTGGGTGGGTCTTGTCTTCCCAAAGGCTTGAGAGGAGGGAGGGGAGGAGGGCCGGCTTCACTGGAGATGGGTGTGGATGTGATCAATAAAAGCCAAGGGAACACAGCCGTGGTGTGAGGTGATTCTGGCCAGCCCCAGTGGCCTCCCAGCCTCTTCCCCTCTCGGCCTCTCCTATTACTGCCTCCCTCCATCTCTGGTGCCACTTTTTCCTTTTCTCCCTCTTCTCTCCCTTGTTCTTCATTTCTGCTCCTCACCCTCTCTGCCCCCTCTTTCTAGCTATGCACCTTTTCATCCCTGTTTCTGGTCTACCCACTTTTTGTCCCTCTTTCTCTCCCCCAGTTCTTTCCATCTCTCTCTCCCCCCTTCCTCTGTTCTCTCCCTCTTTCTGTCTCCAGAGGTCACAGTGTTCTGTTTCCAAGTCTCTCTTTGCTGACATCAATGTGTCTGGGTATCTGTCATCTCTCCTCTTCCCCATTTTGGGGCATTACTTTTCCTCACCCCCACCTCTGACCCCATCTTTTGCTTGCCTCCTTGGTCTCATTTCTGTCCCTTCCAACTTTCTCAGGAGACTGGGCCGAGGGCCAGCTCCGGCCTCCCGTCCCCCTGGCCTGGCTCCCCCTCTGCGGCTCTCTGAGCTGGCCCCGCCCCCCCCCCCCCCCCCCCCCCCTAAGGCTGCTCTGATCCCCGCCTGAGAGCCACCGAGGGCTGGTGCCTGGACACTCCCCCCCCTGCCCCCTCCCTGACACGCAGACGTTCTCCCTCAAGGGAGCGGGGCCCTTGACACGGGACACAGGAGATCCTGCTGAGCGGGATGGGGGCCGCTGGCCCCAGCAGGTAAGGGGGATTCAAGCCCCTGAGGGGGCAGGGAGGAGGCTCTTTGACCCCACAACCTGTCAGTCTGTCCGTCCTTGGCTCTGCCCATCTTCCTCTCCCTTTCTGCCCACCTGTTTGCCTGTACCCGGCCCACTTAGGCCACTCTGTCTCCTGTCGCAGGGGAGATGGTCCAGTTTGATGGCTCTGCCCACCTTGGAGAGGTGGTCAGCGACACTGGCCCTTGACGTTCCTGTTTGTCTCAAGAGGCTGTTCTTGTCTCTACCCTGTTCGCTGTGTTTCAAGCCGTAGAAGCCAGTCTCTGACTGTCTCCCTGTTGCCTCTGCATCTCTCCCTGACATCCCTGGGTCCCTTGCTGTCTCTCTGCAGCTCTAACTCTGTAAGAACCAGTCTCTGGCCATCTTTTCCTGTCATTTCTGGCCCCCTTGCTGTCTCTGACCATCCTTTCCTATCATCTGGGTCCTTTGCTATCTCTCCGGGCTCCCTAGTGTTCCTGTTTGCATCTCTCTGTCATCTCTGGGCCCCTTGCTGTCTCAGACCATCTCTTCCTATCATCTGGGCCATTTGCTGTGTCTCTGACCATCTCTCCCTGTCATCTCTGGGCACCCTACTGTCCCTCTCTGTATCTCTCTGTCATCTCTGGGCTGCTTGCTGTCTCTGCATCTGTCTCAGAAGCAATCTGACCATTCCTCCCTGTCATTGCTGGTTGCTTTACTGTGTCTCTGACCCTCTCTCCCTGTCATCTCTGGGCGCTCTACTGTCCCTCTCTGCATCTCTCCATCATCTCTGGTCTGCTTGCTGTCTCTCTGCATCTCTGTCTCTGAGAGAGTCTGACCATCTCTCCCTGTCATCTGTGGGCACCCTACTGCCCCTCTCTGCATCTCTCCATCATCTCTGGTCTGCTTGCTGTCTGTCTGCATCTCTGTCTCTGAGAGAGTCAGACCATCTCTCCCTGTCATCTCTGAGCACCCTACTGTCCCTCTCTGTATCTCTCTGTCATCTCTGGTCTGCTTGCTGTCTCTTTGCATCTCTGTCTCTGAGAGAGTCAGACCATCTCTCCCTGTCATCTCTGGGCACCTTGCTGTCTATCTCACCCTGCATCTCTGGGACCCTTGGTGTCTCTCTTTGCATCTCTCTCCCTCTGAGAGCCAGTCTCTGACCATCTCTGCCTGGTGGGGGCGGGGGGAGGAGTGGGGGGAAGAAGGCTACCTGTCTCCAGATTAGATATTGACTTTGACATGAAATTGTCATCCCCTAAGCCGAGTCTCGGCTGAATATGGAAACATAAGCTGCTCCTGTGCTGGGCAGAGGGGGGGTCAAGGGGCAAGGCCCAGAGCTGCTCTGGGGAGACGTGGAAGGCAGGGAGGGAAGGATGGACTGGGCCCAGGGGCCAGGGCTTCCTGTCCCAGCCCTCCATCGTCTAGGGGCAGAGCCCCGAGCGCCCCTTCCCAAGGCCAGCCTGTGAGAGCCCCTGGGGTCATGGGGGTGGGAGACCGTGGTCTTTATCCCCCTTCTTCAGAAGAGCGCACTGGCCGCCGTCCCCCTTCTTCCTCCACAGGTGCCCTACCACCTGCTAGCCCCCATGGGGGTGTCCCGCGTCCTGCGGCGCCTGAGTGGCGTCCCCTCGCCTGCAGAGGAGGAGCAGGGTGAGGGAGGCGGCTTGGCAGCCTGCCGCAATGGGCGCTTCCCCGGGGGCGCTGAAGTGGGCTTGGGCCCCCGGCGCCGGGGCCGCTTTGTCAAGAAGGACGGCCACTGCAATGTTCGCTTTGTCCACCTGGGGGAGCACGGGGCGCGCTACCTTAGCGACCTGTTCACCACCTGCGTGGACGTCCGCTGGCGCTGGATGTGTCTCTTTTTCTCCTGCTCCTTCGTGGCCTCCTGGCTGCTCTTCGGCCTGGCCTTCTGGCTCATCGCTTCCCTGCACGGGGACCTGGCCGCACCCCCGCCGCCCGCGCCGTGCTTCTCACAGGTGGGCAGCTTCCTGGCCGCCTTCCTCTTTGCCCTGGAGACCCAGACGTCCATCGGCTACGGGGTGCGCAGTGTGACGGAGGAGTGCCCGGCCGCGGTGGTGGCCGTGGTCCTGCAGTGCATAGCAGGCTGCGTGTTGGACGCCTTTGTGGTGGGTGCCATCATGGCCAAGATCGCCAAACCCAAGAAGCGTAATGAGACGCTGGTGTTCAGTGAGAATGCCGTGGTGGCACTGCGCGACCACCGCCTCTGCCTCATGTGGAGGGTGGGGAACCTGCGGCGCAGCCACCTGGTGGAGGCCCACGTCCGAGCCCAGATACTTCAGGTGAGTCCTGGGGAGCCCGATGGCGGCCCCTGCTCGGGTGGGACTGGCACACAAATCACAAATCTGAAGGGCATGGGAGATAAGGGGCAGTGACTCCCCGTGGACCTTTGCATGGAGCTCCGATCATTTGTGGGGACAGTGCCGTCTTCCTGTCCAGGGAAACTAGGAAGCCATAATTCCCAGCAACGCTTGGGTTTGGGGCTCTCCCCATCCCATCGGCCCTTGGGTTGGGGCTGGAGACCCAGGAGCTTCTGGGTGATTGAGTGTCTAAGGACCTCAGCCGCCAGCACCCTCTGGGGCAGGGAGGGCATCCTCCTGTCATCTGTGGACAGCAGCCTCCAGCACTCATGGGAACCAGGGCTTCCCTGAAGAAGCCTTGACCTCCCCCAGTCTGGAGGAGAGGAGCACCCCAGGGGCTCACGAGAAGGAAAGTGTTTCTCTTCCCCTTTTGGTTGAAATCCCAGAGTTCCTGGGAACTGTGGCTTCCTCAGGCTCAGTCAAGGCCAGCTGGGCCCCCCTGGGTGGAGACTGACCCTCAGAGAGCCCGGTGTGGTGTAGTATAGTAGTTCCTTTAAAAATTCTGGCCCATGGAGGGGCTCGGACCCAGGTGGTGTAGTCGTTCATTGTAGATTCCCCTTCTGTGGACGGCCCCGGCCACCTCTAGTCTCAACTCTGACCCTACTTTGCCGTGGCCACAGGTTCCTGCAGCCACCCTGGGGCAGTGGTTCAACACTGGCCAAAAGGAATTGTGGGAGGGGGACAGAGACCTTGTGTGGGGTCTGAGGGAGGACACCTGCCCATAGTCCCTAGGGGCCAGGTGTCTGGGTCTCCTTGTGAAGATCATTTCTCTCTCTCTCCATCTCTGTGTCCCGCCCGGCTCCCGTCTTTGCGTGGCTCTTGGTGCGGACTGCTTCCCCTTTCTGCTTCTCTTTTGTTTTGGGACTGGCCTGATTCTGCTTGCCTGTCGTGTCTTGGTCACTCTCTCCATCCCCATGTCACCTTTTCTTCCGTCTCCTTTTATCTCCTATGTGTCTGTGTCCCTGCTTCTGTGATCCCGCGCCCACCTCTCTGCCTTGTCTCCGGCTGTCCTGTGCCTCTCCCAGCCTCGCGTTACCCCAGAAGGCGAGTACATTCCCCTCGATCACCAGGATGTGGATGTGGGGTTTGACGGGGGTACAGACCGCATTTTCCTGGTGTCGCCCATCACCATCGTCCACGAGATCGACGCCTCCAGCCCTCTGTATGAGATGGGCCGGGCCGAACTGGCCAGGGCAGACTTTGAGCTGGTGGTCATCCTGGAGGGCATGGTGGAGGCCACGGCCATGACCACCCAATGCCGCTCCTCCTATCTTCCTGGGGAGCTTCTGTGGGGCCATCGCTTCGAGCCCGTGCTCTTCCAGAGAGGGGCCCACTACGAAGTGGACTACCGTCACTTTCACCGAACCTATGAGGTGCCAGGGACCCCCATCTGCAGCGCTCGGGAGCTGGATGAGCAACGGGCCCTGGGGGACAGTGACAGCCCTGGGCCCAAAGGGGGCCTGCCCGGTGCCCTGGCTGCCTTCTGCTATGAAAATGAGGTGGCCCTCAGCTGCTGCCAGGAAGAGGACGACGTGGAGGAGGAGAGGGGTGAAGCCCAGGTGGAGGCCAGCTCCAAGGCCTCCACCCCGCCCCTGGCCCCGTCCCCTGAATTGGCCCCACCCCCTTGAAGGAAGACCAGCAGGGCTGGGGAACTGCCTCAGGGGCCCACCATGTCACCACCCCTCCCCCAGGGGATGTGGTCGGTAGTCCTAGGTGGGGAAGGACCTGGAATCTGGGCGCAGGGACTTGCCTGCAGGCCTCGAGCCCCTTCCCTGGGGCATAGCCAGGCAGTACATGCTTCCTGGACCGTGGACTTTAGGAATGGGGGAGGTGGCTTTGTGTGTGGAACCTTCTGGATGAGTTGAATGGGTAGCTCCATCTCACCACTTTCCCAACCAGGGGGAATGAGGGCCCCCCTCCCTTCTGCCCTATTGTTACCCTCAGCACTCTTCTTCCTCCCAAGCCCCTTCCTTCTGGGCTCAATCCTGCCTGGAGTCCAAGAGGCAGGGGGTGGCCGGGGTTGTTCTAGACCCCCCTACCCTCAAGAAGAGAATGGGACCCAGGAAGCCCATTGGTTCAGACCCAGTTTGCAGACAGGACAAGCCATGGAGGGCTGTGGGCCCATGGGGTCGTGAGGAGCCTGGCCTGGCCTCCAGGCTGAGCAGGAGGCATCCTGGATGCACAGGGCCACCAAGTAGCCAATGACTTTCTCCAGAATGCTGTGCATATATACCTATCTATACATATCTACATATCTGTATTCTCCCGAATTTTTCCTGGTTTTGCTGCAGAAGGGGTGAGAAAGCGTGGCCTTGGCGTCAGGAGGGAGGTCCCTCTGGGCAGGCAGGGGAAATGGGCTTTGGAGCCAGATGCCCCAGGCTGGAATCCTGGCTTGGCTTCCTGTGCCCCATGTGACAGTGGGCCAGCCTCTTTCCCCTCTGTTTTCTCCTGTTAACCACAGGGGGTTGGAATGTATTCCCCTTCAGCTTTGCCAGCTGGGGAGCCTATGACCTCAGGGCCCTGGGAGGTGGCACCACAGGCAGGCTGGCTGGTCTTCCAGGGCTCACTGGGACTTTTCTGGAAGGCCCTAGAGCAAAGCAGGTGGTGTTTCTGTTAGGACCTGGCGTGGCCTCTGGACACTGGGAAGGCTGCAGCATGAGTCACCCTAGACTGAGCTGCGGCAAAGGGCCCAGGCCCTGGGCTGGGCTGCCCTGCCTTGCCCCTGCCTAGGCTCTGGGGCAAGTGTGGAGGAGACTGAAGGACCCTGGGGTCCTTTCCACCATTGCCTGGGGGTGGAGGGAACTGGCTTGCCCTTGCCCCCAGAATAAAGAGTTGTGAAGCCCTGTGTGTGTGTGTGTGTGTGTGTGCGTGCGCGCGAGCGCGCCTGGGTGGGAGCGGCAGGGGGTGGCTGCTGTTTCTCAGTCCTGGCCCTTGGCCCAGTGCCTCATTTCCATGAGTGTGCCCAGGGAGAGGTGCCAGCCTGCAGTGAGGGCTTGAGCCCAGGGAGAGGGTGGAAGCCACCCAGGAGCCCCACTGGGCCCTCCAGCCCCAAATGCGGGGCTCTGTCCTTCCCTCCTCACCCTTTCTCCAGGTTTTCGGGCTCCCTCCCGAGTTCCCAAGCCCGTCCTCTACCAGGGTCCCTTCCCAGGCCCCAGCTCTCCCATATCCCACCATACTCCAGAGACCTCATGGCTCTTTTTGCCCAGAGGACCTAATCTTCCTTCTCCCATCCTCCAGAGGCCCCATCACCCTCTCCCCAGCCTCCTAAGGTCTCTTTCATCCCCCCCTTCACCCCACCCCCTGCCTGTGGCCTTTATCCATCAGTAACCCTAATAAGGACCGGATGGAATTAATTAGCCAGGCAGCTACAGGATTGCAGGGGGAGGAGAGGGAAGACCTGGGGCCTAGAGGCTGGGGGAGGGGGCAGAGGATGCCCAAGTGGGACCAGGAGGTGGCCTGGGGGGGAAGGGCATGGCAGAAATGCTAGGACCCCTTCTTGGGAACCAGGACAGGGATGGGAGCTTCAGAGTTCCTGAAGGTCAGAACAGGGACAGGGAGGGGATTAAGAGGCAGGAACAGTTTCCATGGCTAATCCCTTGAGGAACCTGGTCCTGAAGCACCGGCACCACCCAGCCTTTCAGGTTTGTCACCTAGGGGTGAGGAGGGGGACCACAGCAAGGTCATCACCTCGTTTATCTTCTCACAGAGGAAAGAGCCCTATCTGTGCACTCAGAGGACCTGAGTTCCAGTCACAACCTCCCTGGGCCTCAGTTTCCTCATCTGTAAAACAAGGGAACTGGATTAGAGGTCAAAGGTCCCCTCTCACTAGAGGGTGGGGCCTGTGAAGGGAAAGGGCACCCAAGGGCAGAGTTAGATCTGCAGGAGGTCAGAGATCATCTGGGCCAACTCCCTCATTTCAGAGATGGGGAAACAGATCCGAAGGTGATTTGCTCAAGGTTCCCCAGGCAGGAAGTGGCAAGTTAGAAACTCAATCCATACTAGGGATGACGTGGTAAAGGACAGGAGCCAGAGAGGAGGCAGGAGGAGAGGGGGGCGGGGCACCTCCGGGGGAAGAGCAGTCTGGAGAGAGGGAGGAGTCAAAGGAGAAGGGGAGGAGTCTGGATAGAGAGGGAGGAGTCAATGGAGATGGGGAGGAGTCTGGATAGAGAGGGAGGAGTCAATGGAGATGGGGAGGAGTCTGGATAGAGAGGGAGGAGTCAATGGAGATGGGGAGGAGTCTGGGTAGAGAGGGACGGGTCAAAGGAGATGGGGAGGAGTCTGGAGAGAGAGGGAGGAGTCCATGTTTGGGGGGAGAAACGGGACAGAGAAGGGGAGGAGCCAGGGTGAGGCTGGGAGTCTGAGGGGAAGAGTCTGAGCAGAGGGAGGAGTTTGAGAGGGAAGGATCTGAGGAAATGGAGAGAAGTCAGGGAAAGGAGAGGAGCCAGAGGACAGGGCAGGAGTCCATGGGAGAAGGGAAAGCGTTTGGTGAGAAGGAAACGACGGGTTCCGCAGAAACACCGCCCTCCAACACACCTTCGGCTGTCGCTAAGCAACGGAACTTTTTTTTTCCTTTCTGGGCCTGAGCTCTGTTGCCACCCCTTAGCAACGGGCCTGCCCCCTAGCAACGCTCTGGCTTGGAGAGGCTACGCCCCCTCCCGTTTGTCTCTCGACCTTCTCACGCAGGCGCAAACACCTTTGCCCATCTCAAGCCAAAGCCTTTCGTTGTCTGCTCCCTGTCACTTTTTCGGGGGCTGATGCTCCCGGTTCTGTGCGCACCGCCCCGCTGAGCTGGGCCCCGACTTTCATTGGGTCCAGCGTGGGGGGCGGGGCCCTGAATGCCTTCCATCAAGTTCCATTGGCTCGCTCGGCCACCCTCCCCTTGTCCACCGAGGCAACGCGGCCGCCTCACGCCCCGCCTCCGCCCGGCTTCATTGGCCCAGGCAACCCGCCCCTCAACGCCCATTGGTTCCACGGAAACCAAGCTCGGCTTTCCATTGGCCGGGGGCGGCCCCACGCGAGAGCGGAGGCGGTGGCGGCGGCGGCCCCGGGAGCGGCCGAAGGGGCTGAGCGTAGCCCCAAGGACCCGCGAAGAACCGGCGGCCCGAGCCACGCTACGGGCCCGCGCCGGGCTGCCCTGGCCACCATGGAAGACGGAGTCTATGGTGAGGCGGGCGCGGAGTGAGCTCTGGGGGCTGGGGGGGCTGGGAGGGGACGGGACGTTCCATTCCATTGTTCAGGACGATACCATTTCCGGCCAGCGCAGGGGGGCGTGGTCGAAACCATTCCCTGGGCGAGTCCATTTCCTGCCTGTGGGATGTACTATCCCAAGCGCACATGGGGGGGCTCCCTTGGATCGGGAGAGACCATTTTTCTTAGAAGGGGGAACCATCCCAGGGAAGAATGAAGGCTAGAGCGGAGTTTGGGGTGGCAACTTAGTGGAGATGAGGGGAAAGAGGTCATGCCTTCTCTCCCCCTACCCTGTTCCCAAACTTAGTTTTAGTGTTATCTGCACTCTCTGCCTCAGTTTCCCCGGGAGACCTTTGCATACCTTTCCCCAGACCTTAGGCACTCAAGTGTCCCGGGACCCAAGTCACCCAGGAGCCCAGCACACACGTGCACGCAAACATGTGATCACATATACATATGCGTTGCATGCAGCACACATGCAGTTACACCCATGCACACAACATATACGTATGATCACACATAATCGTGTACATGCACACAAATGTAGTGTGCCGTATACCTGTGATCACACACGTACACACGTAATCACACACCACTCAATGCAATGACAGCGCACAAATGTAGTGTGCCATACACATGTGGTCACATATGTGCACCGCACACCGCATACATGCAATTACATATGCAGAGAACTATAGGATGCCATATAATGTGATCACATGCGTGCACCCCGCCCCTGCGGCCAGCCCTCAGTCCACACTGTAACTCCCAGTTCCCCCAGACCTGACCCCCGAGGAGCGCCTGGAGCTGGAGAGCATCCGGAGACGCAAGCAGGAGCTGCTGGTGGAGATCCAGCGGCTCCGTGATGAGCTGAGCGAGGCCATGAGCGAGGTCGAGGGGCTGGAAGCCAACGAGGGCAGGTGGGCAGCAGCTCCCCCGGGCCCAGGGGGCCTGCTCAGCCCCATCTGCGGCCGCCTGCGTCCCAGCCATCCGTAGTGGTCCTGTCTCCTCTGCTCCTTTGGACTATAAGCTCCCTGCGAGCAGGCCCTGCCCTTCACCCCCCTTTGTGTCCCCTGAATTTAGCATAGTGCAGGGCGTGTAGTCGGTACTTAATAAATGCTTATTGATTTAGCTAGGGAACTGTCTGCACTGTGCCACCCTTCAGAGGCAGAGAAGGGTTCATAACCAGCCCCAGCAGGGAGCCCAGGACCCCAGCCCCAGCGGGGAGCCCCGGGTGGGTGGGTGGGAGGCTCCCCAGCTGCTCACGGCTCCCCGTCTCACCTTTGCAGTAAGACCCTGCAGAGGAATCGCAAGATGGCCATGGGGAGGAAGAAGTTCAACATGGACCCCAAGAAGGTGCCAGGGGCTGGGGGCAGGGCTCTGGGTGGGCCGAGGGGGGGCCATGGGTCCCCGCCTCACTCCCGGCCCCCGTCCTGATGCCTTCCCAGGGAATCCAGTTCCTGGTGGAAAATGAGCTGCTGCAGAACACGCCCGAGGAGATCTCCCGCTTCCTGTACAAGGGTGAAGGTCTCAACAAGACCGCCATCGGCGACTACCTGGGGGAGCGGTACGGGCCCAGAGCCGGCGGGTGTGGGCGCCGGGTGCGGGCAGGGCTCCCGTCCCGGCACTCGCTCACGGCATCCTCTGTGTCTCCCCCAGAGAGGAGCTGAACCTTGCTGTCCTCCACGCCTTCGTGGACCTGCACGAATTCACCGACCTCAACCTGGTGCAGGCGCTGAGGTGACCGCGAGGGCCCCTGGACGGGTGTCGGGTACACTCCATCCCCGTGGCTGGCTGTCCCCCCCGGGCCCCTCCCCGCCATCCGTCCCCCTCACTGCCTCCCTCCACCTCAGGCAGTTCCTGTGGAGCTTCCGCCTTCCTGGGGAGGCCCAGAAGATCGACCGCATGATGGAGGCTTTCGCCCAGCGCTACTGCCTGTGCAACCCTGGGGTCTTCCAGTCCACAGGTGGGCCTGGCCTGGGGCGGTCAGAACGTCGTGCGCCTGCACGCAGAGAAAGGCAGGCGCGGGATGGGCCAGGGCCAGCAGGGGCGCGGGTGGGGTGGGGCAGGAGCAGGCCTTGGGGACCGGGTTCAGGGAGGCAGATTTAGGCGCTTCCCTGCTGTCCTAGAATTCCCAGAGAAGAAGGTAGTGAGCTCCCCGTCCCCTTCTCCCTGTGCCCCTCCCTGAGCGCAGACACCTGCTACGTCCTCTCGTTTGCCGTGATCATGCTCAACACCAGCCTGCACAACCCCAACGTGCGTGACAAGCCAGGCGTCGAAAGGTTCATCACCATGAACCGTGGCATCAACGACGGCGGGGACCTGCCCGAGGAGCTGCTCAGGGTGAGGCTGCCCCCTCGCCCGAGTCCATGGCCGTGGGCCAGCCTGTGGCCCCAGGGCCTCGGTCCTCTGGGCCCTTCCCCTTTCTGCCCCTCCGGGTCCCCCCCTCTGGGTGTCCCTCTGGGTCCCTCTTCTCTGCCCCTCTGGGTCCCCCCCTCTGCCCCTCCGGGTCCCCCCCTCTGGGTGTCCCTCCTCCCTCCCACATTATCAGGGTGTCTCTCAGCTGGGGGCCCTCACACACTCTCCCCCTTCCTGTCTCAGAACTTGTACGACAGCATCCGCAACGAGCCGTTTAAGATCCCTGAGGACGACGGCAATGACCTGACGCACACCTTCTTCAACCCTGACCGAGAGGGCTGGCTCCTCAAACTGGGTACGCCCGCGCCCCGGGAGGGGACCAGCCCCGGGGGGGAGGTAGCCAGAGCCCAGGGCCGGGGAGGGGGCCGGGCCGGGGAGGGGCTCTGGGGTCTGGGGCAGCCTCCCTCCTCGTCTGGATGTAACTCGTTTTCTTCATCTCTCTCCCCCTCCTCCCTGCCGTGTCGCTCCCTCCTGGGCCTGGGCCTTCTGCGTTCTCCCGTCCCCGTCCGTTTCGTCGTGTGTGTGTCGATGGCTGTCTGTCTCTTGGTCTTTGCTTCTCTTTGTGTCTCTTGGCACCCTTGGCCTCCTTCTCCTTGCTGCCTGGTCCTGCCTGTTCTCCTGCCCTCTCCCCCAGGAGGTAGGTACCCGTCTGCTTCTTGCTCCCCTGCCCTCGGCCCCCGGGTGAGACGGGATGGACGGGACGCGGTGGTAGCCAGAGAGGCGGCTCGGGCCCTGCTTTGGAGACTTTGGGGGAGGGGTTGCTGTCAGGGTCCCAAAGAGAAGGCAGAGCTGGAAGGCTAGATATATCTGGGGCCTAGGCAGCAGGGAGGCCTCCCCCCCTCCCGCCCTCCTCTCCTCGCTATCCCTGCCTCCTTTTCAGGGCTCTGTTCTTCTGCCCTTTGCCTGTACCTATGCCTGTCCAGACCCCTCCAGCCCCCGTCCTCGGGCCCGGCCTGGCCCCCCCTGCTGAGCCCGCCCCCGCCCCCTCCTTCCCTTACAGGGGGCCGGGTGAAGACCTGGAAACGGCGCTGGTTCATCCTCACTGACAACTGTCTCTACTACTTTGAGTACACGACGGTGAGGGCGCCATCTGGGGGGAGGGACGCTGGGGACCCTGCGGGTGGGAGCCGAGAGAAGAAGGAGGCATCTGAGGCCAAGGTGGCTGCCCGGTGCCCCGGGGCTGAGACTCCTCTGGCCCACAGGACAAGGAGCCCCGGGGAATCATCCCCTTGGAGAATCTGAGTATCCGGGAGGTAGAGGACCCTCGAAAGCCGGTGAGCACCCATCAGCCTCCCTGCTTTCTGTCTCTCCAGCCCTCCGGGCCCCCCCCCCCCCCCCCGGCCTGGGTGTCTCCTTCTGTGACCCTCTGGGTCCCCCTTCCCAGCCTGGGTGTCTCCTTATGTGCTCCTCTGGGTCCTTCCCCCCTGCCCCTCTGAGTATGCCCCTCTGGGTCCCCCGCCGCCACCTGGGTGTCTCCTTCTGTGATCCTCTGGGTCCTTCCCCCGCCTGGGTGTCTCCTTCTGTGTTCCTCTGGGTCCCTCCTCCCCGCCCCTCTGAGTATGCCCCTCTGGGTCCCTCCCCCCGCCTGGGTGTCTCCTTCTGTGCTCCTGTGGGTCCTTCCCCCCTGCCCCTCTGGGTCCCTCCCCCCCCTGCCCCTCTGAGTGTGTCCCTCTGGCTCCCGGTCCCTCCTCCCCACCCCTCTGAGGGCCTCCCCCTGGCTACTCCTGCCCCTCTGGGTCCCCCTTCTGCTCCTGGGGCTAACCTGAGCCCTCTCTCTCCCCCAGAACTGCTTTGAGCTCTACATCCCAAACAACAAGGGGCAGCTCATTAAGGCCTGTAAGACGGAGGCTGATGGGCGCGTGGTGGAGGGCAACCACATGGTCTACCGCATCTCTGCCCCAACGCAGGAGGAGAAGGATGAGTGGATTAAATCCATCAAGTGAGGGTCCCTGGTGGGGAGGGCTGGAGGGGGGCGGGGCAGGCCCCTCTGGCCCCTGCTGATCTCTGCCTGCCCCTCCTCAGGGCTGCCGTCAGCGTGGATCCCTTCTATGAGATGCTGGCGGCCCGAAAGAAGAGGATCTCCGTGAAGAAGAAACAGGAGCAGGCTTGATGTGGGCAGGGGCCTGGCCCAGCCCCCCTGCCTGTCCCCGTGCTGACCCCCGGTCTTCCCCATAGGCAATAACCCCACTGCCCCGACCCGGCCCCAGGCCCTGCCTTCTACTTATTTATTGGGGGCTGAGGGGCCGGACCCCTGGGTGCCCCAACGCCCTCTCTTGGGGCAAAGGAGAATTTTCTACTCGTGGTTTCTCTTCATTTCTTTGTAATTAATTCCTTATTATCATTATTATTATTATTAATATGGCAATGGTCATTATTGTTCTTGTCTAAGCTGGAACCCAGCCTGCGCCAGCGCGATGGGGAAGGGCCAGGAGCTGGCTGCAGGAGAGCCCAGCTTTGTGACCCAGCTTTGTGGGGCGGGAGCAGGCCCAGCAATGGCTGCCCCTGTGCCCTCTGGCACTGCAGCAGTCCAGGCCCGCCTGAACACTTGGCCAGCCTCTGCCTCCCAGCAGCCTCTGCGCCAGATCTGGGCCTCGGGGGGCAGGAGGCACCTTGTGGAGGTGGACCAGCCTCCCAGCCACAGTCCAGGGGCTGGGGCCTTGTGCTCTCCCTGGGTTCTAACACCCTTCTCCAAGGAGGAAGAGAAGGCAGCTCATGGGCGTGTGTTGGGGGACTTCCCAGGTCAGCCAGGAGTCCACACCACTGCCCCGTGTGCTCACTTGGGTTCCTGTCCCATGGCTTCCCCTCGTGCAGGGCCCCAGTGCCTTCAGACGGGCAGCCCCTCACCTAAGCATAGCGCCCTTTTCAATACGTGAGGCCCTGGAGACGCCCACCCGCCAAGAGAGGAAGAGGGAGGATTCCCGGAAGCTGGGGGAGGGGGGCTTCACACCTTGTCTCAGCGGCTTCTGATTCTCCAGCTGAGGAAGCCACCCCGGGGACCAGGCAGGTCACTGGGAAGGGCTTTGGCAAAGTGGGAGAAAGGGCAGTAGCTCTCAGAGCTGGGTCCCCTGAGTTCTGGGGCGGCCTCATCATAGACCGGAGAGACCCAGGCATGAGCACACACGCAGGATGCAGGGCCCACGGGCGCCCAGTGGCAGAGTCAGAGACTCTTCACCAGAGTGCCCTCAGCTCCAAGGCCCAGGGAGAGCAAGCGTGTTGAGGGCAAGGACTGCTTGGTTCTAGCCCCAAGACTGGTACTTTGAACACTAGGCGCTTAGTGAATATTTGTCAAACTGTGGGGAGACCTGAGCAAAATGGTGGCACGCTGAATTGAGGAGAGAGCAGGGACACAGATGGCATCCAGGAGTGAATGGACAGGGAGAGTCGTGAACCCCAGATGGGGACAAGGACAGACGATCACTCAGCCCACCCCGCCCCCCGCCTCCCACATCAGCTCCCCACACACACAAGCTCAGCCTAATCTCCAAAAAGTCTGTGTTTAAATAACATGAAAACGGACATCTCTGGCCTTGGGCCGGGGGAGGGGGGAGGAATGAGGCAAGGGGGGAGCAGGGGCCTAGGCCCCTCCGTGCCCCGAGGGGAGGTAGGGCTGGGTAGTCCCCCAAGTCCTGAGGTGCCCCATTGGGTCAGTCTGTTATCCCTGGGGTGGAGCTGGGACCAGACCCCAGATGCAGGTGAGTCCTGAGGGCTGGGGGATGGGGCTGGGTATCCTCCTCCTCTCACTCAGCTCCAGGGGGCTGAGGCACACTGGGTGGGGGAACAAGTTCTGGAGGGCTGGGGGGGAGTGGGCCCCGGCCTCCCGATTGGCATCCAGGTGATGAGGGCTGGGGTCCAGCCTCGGGAGCCTCTCCCAACTCAGTGACTCTGTCTCCGTCTCCTCTCACCCCCTCTTCAGGGGGGCCTGGTGGGTGGGGGCCCGCTAGGTGAGGGCCTCGAGGCATCAGTTCTCCACGGGGCCTGAAGGCAAGAGGGATGAAGGATGGGTGACCGAGGGAGGCGAGAACTGGGCCAGAGAAGCAGAGGACAACCAGCCTACTGGCTCAGACGAAGTCAAAGACGTTCAAAGTCACCCAGACAGCTGGTGCCATCTCTCCAGGGCCCCAGACTCAGCCCGTTGGCCCCATGCTGGCGCTCTCCCCCCGTGACTCCAGATACCTCCCATACCTCCAGTCCTGACTCCTCCCGAGCTCCAGGCCTCCACCCCTATCTCCTTATGGCCACCCCACCCGGGGGAACTCGGGACCCTGCCCCGAGGAGCCTCCAGCCCTGCCACGCTGCCTCCCATCCGGGCTGTCCCCTGATGCTTGTGAAGGCACACAGGATTTTATGCTCTCTGGGCCTCAGCGTCCCCAGCTGGATCTGTAAGGTCCCCTTCCATTCTGAGGCTCCATGGTGGTTCCTCGGTGAGTTCCAGCGTCACCTTTGACTCTTCCTTCCACACCCTCTCACCCACATCCAGCCAGCTGAGGTGTCCTGCTGATTTTCCTCTAGTCTCCAGCTCCCTACCCTCCCTTCCTTCCTCTTCTCACCTGGACGGCCCCATCTCCACACTCACTGCTCTGTCCCATCCTTCCCCAGCTAGCCCAGCCATGCTGCACCCCCAAGCCCAGCAATCCTCCGCTCCAAGACATTCTTCAGGCTCAAAATCAAGGCCCTCGGCCAGCCACAGGCCCGGTCAGGGCCCGCTACTCCGTGAGCTCTGGCCAGACTGGCCCTCCCACTCTGCTCTCCTCATTCCCATGCTGCTTGTGTGGCCGTCCATGTCTACAGCACGTCCCGGAGCAGAAAGTACCTGCGGGGCAGACGGCGTCGGGGGGCCTGGCCGGCGGCCCTGGGGTCTCCAGTGCAGGTGAGACGGAGAAGCGGGAGAAGCAGAGTGGGGGGCCTGGTGGGGGGAGCAGGGGGAAATCCTCCCCCCACTCGAAACTGCCTCCTAAATTTTGGAGAAGAGATCTAGTCTTCTCAAACTCTCAGGCTCGACCCCACCCGTTTCCCCCACCCGCCAATTGTCTTCTCCCCCTCACCGAAGCCGCTGTCGGGGAAGCCATCTCCAGGGCTGGGGGGATGGGGAGGTGTCGGCGGGGCTGGGGGTGTCGAAGGGTCCGGGTCCCCCTCGGGGGGAGCCTGGACGCTCAGCTCGTTGGTCGGGGTCTCCTGGAATAGGCATGCGGGCCCGGGTCAGAGGGACATCCGTCCTCAGCGGAACCGCACACACCACCCCTCCTGCCTAACACGGGGCACCCTCCCCAACTTTCCCAACCCTAGGCATAGCCAAGGCCACCACCCCTTCCCCAGTTATTCAGCGGGGAAGGGATCTCAGGGGGCATCCGAGGCAACACCTTCGCTATACAGATGAGGCCACTGAGGCAGAGAGCTTAAGCGCAGGATCAGACAAATAAGTATGGGGTGGAAGGCATTTGAACCCCGGGGCCGGGACTACAAGCCCTGCGCCAGGTCGACCCCTCGCCCTTCCCGCCCAGCCGGCCCTCGGACTCCTCCCTGACTCCTCCCCCTCGGGGCACACCTGGTCGAAGAGGTAGACGGTCACGTCCCCATGAAAGGAGACCATCTTGCGCTTCCGGTCCAGCTCCAAGCTCTCCTCGGCCTCGTCGGCCCCTCGGGGCGATTTGAGGAGCCCCCGGAGTGGCCGGCTCCGGTCCCCGTCGGCACTGCTCACCACGATGGGCACCGGGGCTGCCCGGCCCCTCCCAGGGCCCCGGGCCGCCGCCTCCTCGCCCTCCCCCGCGGCCGCCCCGTCGTCCTCCTCCTCCTCCTCGTCCTCCCCGTCCTCCACCAGCCCCAAGGCCCCCGGGCCGCCGGACTCCGCGCCAGGGACCCCGGCGTCCCCAGCCTCCCAGGGAGGCCGTCGAGGGCCCGGCCCCGGGAACGGGGTAAGAGAGAGCGGAGGCAGGGCCAGCGACAGGCGAGACAGCTTGGCTGGGGGGGGGGGGGGGGGGGGGGGGGGGGGGGCCAGAGAGAGGGAGATAGAGAACTAGACAGAGATACCCCTGTGACCGACCTTCCCCGCCCCCCACACACACACACGTCCCCGCATCCCGACCCCAGTCGGGCTTCTGGGACCCTCAGAGATAAGCCCGTCCAATCCCCTCATTTTACACAGGAGGAAATTGAGGCCCAGGATTTGACTCCAAGCTTTCTTCCCACTGCCCCTTCCACACACGTTACCCTGGTTCCGATCTGGAAAGACCTGGGGGCCAGCTAGCCCATCTTCTCTCAGAGCAAAGCTCCCTCCCCACCCCGACAGAGCTCACCCACTCTGGGGCAGGCAGCTCTCCTTGCGAAGGGATCCTAAGGCTTGCACTCCTACCCAAGGCTCCCGGGGCTAGCCATGAATAATGCTGCTAACATCGAAGGTTTACACACACAATAGCATTTGACGGGAGACCTTGACTTTCTGCTTTAATGTGCAGCTCCAGACCTTGGCACAGTGCCTGGCATATAGTAGATGCTTAAGAAATGCTTGCTGACTGCCTTGTAGACTGACAGATTTGATCCTCATACCAATCCTGTGAGGCAGGAAGGAGCTATTATTATCACCCCCATTTTACAGATGAGGAAACTAAGGCAGAGGTGAAATGACTTCCTCAGTCACTTAGTAAGCTAAGCAGGATTCAGATTCTGGTCTTCCTGACTCCAGGCCCAGCACTGCCATCCACACTGGGGTCAAGGAGAACAGATCCAATATCTTTCACACAACAGCTCTTCAGACACTGGAAAATAGTTCTTATGCCCCTCCCCCCCAGCTTCTGTAACCAACCCCCCAACAGGGCCCCGCTCATTATTCTGGTGACCCTCTTGTCAATACTCTCCCATTGGTCTATGTCATTTCCAAATGGTAGCATTCATTCAGAAATGGACACAGTACTAGGTAGAGTAATACAGTGCAGAGAACTCTTTGGAGTCAGGAAGACCTGAGTTCATATCCAGCCTCAGACACTTCCTAGCTGTGTGACCCCCAGGCAAGTCACTTAACCTCTATCTGCCTCAGTTTCCTTATCTGTAAAATGGGGATAATAGTATCGACCGCCCAGGTTGTTGTGAAGATCAAATGGTTGTTGGCCCAATACTTGGGGTGCTTAATAAGGCTTATTCCCTTCCCACCTACCCAAGGGCAGCGCTCCCCCCCACCCCCAGGCCCCAACCATTCCCCCATGACAACTCTCTCCTGGTTCTCCTCTGCTGGCTCATCATCCATCTCACCCCCCCTTAACTGGTGATGTTCCTTCCTGGACTCTCCCTGTCCCTCTCTAGACTCTTGCTTAACGATGTCGTTAGCTCCCACCAAGCAGTCACCATCTCTCGGAGGACGCCCTGATTCATATAGCCAGCCCCACAGCGACAACTGTCTGTTAGACATTTTGAACTGGATCTCCCTTCCCTAGGAATCTCAACCTCAACTACCCCCCTCAACCTGCCCTTCTCCTAATTTTCCTTTTTTCCAAGGAGGGTGCTAACATCCTTCCAGGTACCCAGGTTTACAACCTCAGGAACTGTTCCTGAGAGGCACTGGACTGGGGAGTCCATATGATCTGAGTTCAAATCTCACCTCAGACACTTACTAGCTATGTGACCCTAGGTAAGTCACTTAACCTCTGCGTGCCTCAGTTTACTCATATGTAAAATGAAGAAAATGGACTTAATGGTCTCTAAGTTCCCTTCTACCATCCTAATAGTCATTCTTGACGCCCTACTTTAACTCCCTGCCCTGCTCCCATCCAATAGGTCACCAAATCTTGTCCTTTTTAACCTGCCCCAACAAACCCCTATGTATCCTCATCTCCCCCCTCACAGAGCCACCACCTGAGGCCATGTCTCTCAACACTTCTCCCCTGGACCACTGCGATGGTCTCCTCATTGATTAGCTGGTCTTCTGCAACTCACTAAATGCCAACATCTGCCGATTACCTCTAAGATCAGTCAGTCAGTCAACTACCATTTATCAATCTGTTCTTATGTGCCAGGTACTATGATCAAATACCTGACCCCAAGCTACCCTTCCAGCCTCATCATACATCACTCTCCCTCACACACTCGATGGCCCAGCCAACGTGGCCTTCTTACCATTCTTCACACAAGACATTCAATCTCCCACCACTTTGTCTTTGCCTAGGCTGTTCCTCATGCCCGGAATGCACTCTCCTCTCATCTCTGCATCTTAGAATTCCTAAGTTTCCTTCCAAAGTTTAGTTCCATCACTTTATCCCTAATGAAGCCTTTTCTACTCGTGCCTTCCTCACAAATTATCTTGGAGTTACTTATCTGCATGTGTGAGTGGTATGTATGAGTGCATATATTATATACATTATATACAGTGATTATATATATATATTACATGTATTTAGAGTGTGTATCTACTTATGTGTATAGTATAGTTATATCTCCTTACATGTATATCATATACATTTATATGCATGTATGTATTTATTTGTATATAATGTGTGTATATCTACTTACATGTACGTTACTTATATTTACATCTACTTATGTATATTACATACACTTTTTGCATATATACACTTATATATGTTGCTATAGATATGCACTTATATGTAATGTTATATATTCTGTTATATATGCTATATAACTTATGTGTATATCATGTGTGCTTGTATGTGCACAGCTACCTACATGTATATTACTTGTATTTATATTTACTTACATGTATATTATATACACATATGCACTTATATGTATATCTACTTACATGTATATCATGTGTGCTTATGTGTGTGTATCAACTTACATGTCTATTATATACACTTGTAAGCATATGTGTACTTATTTGCATTTTATATGTGCTTATATGTCTATCACCACACGTGTACATGCTTACAGGTAAATCACACTTACATGGATGTTTACATGTGTGTTGCACACACGTGTGCATTACATTACAGATACATTATTTGCACTTACAACCTCTATTCCATGCACTTATGCTTAGAAGCGTCCACATGCATGCCCGTATGCCTAGACACTGCCACCCAGATGCACAGTCCCTCCCTACAGAGCAGAGACCCCTTTGGGCGAGCAGGGCCTATTTCCTTTCTGTCCTGGCATCTCCCGGTGTCTGGCAGGTGGGAAATACTTCATAAATGCCTGCTCAATTGCCTCTAGCCTTACCGATGCACACCAAGCTTGCGGTCCACTATAACCTTCAGATTTTGGTCACGGGAATTGTGTCTAGCTTTGCCTTCCCCACGATGTAAATAGGAAGTTGATTTTATCGGTTTATGAAATTTCATCTTAGTGGATTTGGCCTATTGATCCAGCCTCTTCAGATGCTTCTGGACCCTCTTTCATCTGCTATAGTAACTGCCTCTATCAGAGCTGCCCTGCTGTTGATCCTTGGGGAACCCCACTAGCCTCACTTCCTCCCTGGTGTCCAGCAAGCCCCCTACAGCCTTCTCCACATCCATGCCTTCTGCCAAAGAACCAGCCTTGGGAAGAGTTAGTTCACTGCCTGGGCCTTAGTTTCCTCATCTGTAAAAGGAGGGTGTTGACCTAATTCCCTCTGCCCAGCTCTGGCTGAGAATCTCTGATCCCAGGAACCTCCAAGTCCTTCCCAGCTACAGTGGAAAGGACCTCGGGGACTGCTCCCCGCCACCCCGGGAGCCCAGGTCCCACTTGTTCTTCTTGGCCCCTTGGGGCAGAACAAGAGAGAGGGGAGAGCAGCTGAGGAGGGGCACAAGGAAAGGCAGAGTGGCCACACCCGCTGCCTTCTCTCATGCTAGCTGGCAAGTCCCTTAGCCTGCGACTGTCCTCTGTAAAGGGGAGGGTGGTCTCCTCGACCTCTCCAGTCCATCGGAGCCCTGACGGCTGGACTGGACAGAGGCCCTTTCCCCCAGTGGGTGGCCTTCAAGCCAAGAATGCAGGACCACCTTGTCAGGACAATGGCCAGGTAAGGGGCCTTCTGAGACCCTTTCCCTCCAGCTGGGAGAGTCTGGGCGTCTCTAACAGATGGGCCATGCCAAGCGCATCGAAGGTCACCCCCCCCCACTCACCTTTGATCTGTGCGCTGCTCCCCGGCGGCGGGCCCAAATCCAGGAAGAGCCGAGGCATCTCGGGGCCCTTCCTCCCCAGAGTGGGGGGGTCCCCGTCGCCGCCGGTTTCCACGGCGCCGTCGGCCGGGGCGCCTGGGTCCCCGGCGTCTCCCGCGGGTGCCGCTGGCTCCCGGGGCAGGGGAAGAGCTGGCTCCGGCCTCCGCAGCTCCGGCCTCGTCTCGCCGGGGGGCGCGGCTCCTCCGCCCCCGCCGCCTGCGGGTCCTGCGTCTGGGGCCTTCCCTTGGCCCCCCAGAGCTTGGAGCCCATTCTCGGGGCCCAGTCTCCCAGGCCCGGGTGGGGCTCTCTTCCCGCTCCCTCGAGCCTGCCCTCCACTCCTGGGGACTGGCTCGCCGTTCCCCGGGGCCCTGGCCGGGCTCCCTGGGACTTGCTGATCCCCATTCTCCAGGAACCTCTCCCCATTCCCTAGGGCTCTCTCCTCCTGGATCCCTGGGGCTGGCTCCCCACACTCGGGGATTTTCTTCCCATTCCCTGGGGGTCTCTGTCCCCCATTCTCCAGCACTTTCTCCCTGTTCCCTGGGGGCCTCTGCACCCCATTCTCCTGCGGTTTCTCCCCGCTCCTGGGGGGTCCCTGCACCCCATTCTCCACCACTGTCTCTCTGCTTCCTGGGGGTGTCCGGCCCCCGTTCTCCAGCAGTGTCTCCCAGCTCCCGGGGGGCCTCTGGCGCCCACTCTCCGGCACTGTGTCTTCGCTCCCGGGGGGCCTCTGCTCCCCGTTCTCTGGCGTCGTCTCCCTGCTGCCTGGGGCTGCCTTTCCTGCATGGCCCAGGACTTTCTCCGTGTTTCCTGGGACTGCCTGGCCTACAGTCTGGGGGCCCTGAAGGACCCTCCCTGCCTTTGCTGGGGCTGCCCTCTCCCCCAGCACGTTGCGGGTCACGTCTTCCCTCAAGGACAGCAGGAGCTGCTCTGTGCTCACCTGCACCAGGAAGCCTGGGAGAGGGCCCGGGTCGGGGGGTGGCCTGGGGGCTCCCGGGTCGGGTGGCTCGGGGGGAGCCCGGGGCCGAGGGACCCCCTCCTCCTCGGCCGCCCCCCCACCTGGGAACGCCCCCTCGGGGGAGAAGGGGGTCTCCGTCTCGTAGCCGCTGTCCCCCGGCTTGGGGCCCGGAGACGAGAGGCCGGATCCTGGGCTGCCAAGTCCCGAGGGGGCATCGGGTGATTCTGCTGGGTCTGGGAGAGCCCGAGCAGGAGGAGGGGGCAGGGCGGGAGGTGGCGGCGGCAGGGGGGGGGGGGGCGGGGGGGGCCCCCCCCCGGGGGGCGGGGGGGCCGCCGCCCCCCCTAGGGGGGCCAGGAACGCGGGGGGGGGCGCGGAGGGGGGGGGGGGCGGGGGAGGTCAGTTAATGACCCCCGCTCAGCCCTCAGCGAGGAGTCATCCTCGGGGGGGTTGGGGCAGCCCAGGGCCGGATGGCCCCCCCAGCCAGACACCATCTCCCCCCGCTGGAGTGGGAGGCAGGAGCAAGGCCCCTCATGGCTGCAGAGAGGGCAGGGGAGAGGGCCCCGGCGGCTTCGGCGCCCCCCGCTGCTGCTCCCCTCCCCCAGGGAGCTCTCTTCCCCTTCCTCCTCCTCCTCCTCCTCCCCCCAGGGGGCTGTGCCTCGCTCCCCCAGCACTTCTGCAGGGTCCCCAGCTAGGGTCTCTCCTGCTCCCCGGCCCTCGGGGTCCCAACCACTGAGCAGGAAGCTACCTGATGCCTTCGGGGGGAATGACCGTGGAGGGGGGAAAAGAGGGGAGGCCCAGGTCTCCGACACGAGCTGGGGGACCTCAGCAGGGGCTGGGTTGGTCTGGGGGGCCGGGACGCCCGGATCCAAGGGGTCCCAGTCATTGGGGAAGAGGGGCTCTGGGGGGGAGCCGTGATCCTCCAGGCGGATATAGTACTCGCTGCCTACGGAGGGGCTCCGGGCACTGATAACCGGCAGGACACTGGGGGTGGCCAGGGCCTCATAGAAAGGGTTCGAGGGGACAGCCTGGGGAGCAGGGGGGGCAGAGGCTGGCTGCCAGGCAGCCGCCCCGCCACCCCCGCCACGGCCGGCCCCCCGCCTTGCCTTTTCCCACAGGCACTCGAGGTTGAGGCCGCGGCTGCTCTCAGTGACGGTGAGGACGTCGTCAGGATCAGACCCCGGGAAGCCATCGAGGAGGGGGAAGGGTGAGGAGAGGGCTGTGGGCCTCGGCGGGGCAGGGGGGGCCGGCCAGGGCCAGGGGAAGGGCGCGTCCCGGGGTGGGGGGGGCGGCGGGGGCGGCGGAGGTCTAGGGGGCCGTTCAGAGAGAAGGTAGGTTAGCTGCAGCTGCAAGTCAGAGGCTGAGGGTCGCTGGGCAGGGGGACGCCAGCAAGACTGGAGGACATCATACCTGGGAAGGGGCCAGTGGAGACCCAGGTAGACGGGAGACGGAGGCAGAGCCAGAGAGATGAGCAGATCAGAAAGGGAAACCGAAGCAGAGTCAAAGAGATGAGCAAGTCAGAGAGGGGACCCAGGGAAACCAAGGCAGAGCCAGAGAGGGAAACCAGGAAACAGAATCAGAGCCAGAGAGATGAACGGCTCAGAGAGGGGACCCAGGGAAACTAACGCAGAGGCAGAGGCAGAGCCAGAGAGGCTCAGGGTCAGACAGGGGACCTGGGAATCAGGAGAGAGGGAAGGCCAAGAGGAGAAAGGGGGAGGATGAGAGAGGGGGGAGTGTGAGGGCACCCCCTCCCAGGGAGGGTCTGCAGATCAGACGGTCAGGTCTCCTAAGTCACTGGACACAGGGGCTGAGCCCTGGGCTCTCCCGGGCCCCTACTCACCAGTAGTCTCCATAGGGCAGTTTTAGCCGGGGCTGAGCCAGCTTGACGTGCTGCTGCCGGATCACGAAAGCCAGCACCTCCTCATCAGACAGGTGGCGGTAGGGCTGTGCCCCAAACTCAAACAGCTCCCACAGCGTCACCCCCAATGACCTGGGGGGGTGGCGGGGCCGAGGTCAGCAGGGGCCGGAAGGGGTGCCGGGCACCCCCTCCCTGCCCGCCCGCTGGCCGCTCACCAGACGTTGCTTTCCTTGGTCTGGTCCACCACCATGAAGGTCCCGTGGATCTCCCCCAGAAGCTCGGGGGCGGCCCACCTCAACGGGATCCACAAGCGTTCAGGGGTCAGGTAATAGTCTTCCTGGAGAGGGAGGGGGACTTCAAGAACACCAAGTCCAAGTCTCCCATTTCACAGATAAACAAACTGAGTCCCGGGAGCCCTGAAGGGCCTTGCCCAAGGTCACAGTCAGTCAGTCAGACAGTCAACCAGCATTTATTAAGCTCCTACTATGTACCAAGCACTGTGCTAAGAAACAAGACCCCAAGTCAGGCTCCCGATCGGGCCTGATTGGGATCCCCCAAATCCTCATGCCCCCACACACCTTGTAATTGCTGTGAGAGAGACCATAGTCCCCAATTCGCACCGTGAGGTCGGAGGTCACGAGGCAGTTCCTCAAGGCCAGGTCACTGGGAAGGGGAAGGGAGAAAGGAATAAGGAAGCCCCTTCCCCACCCTCCCCGTAACCCCTCCCCCAATCTCTACCTGAGTCAGCCCCCCAAGCCCCTGATCCCTCCCTAGATCCTGGGGAGCTCTGGAGACCTCCCAGGTCAACCTCCTCTTTTGACAAAGGAGGAAACTGAGGCCCCAGGTAAAGGGACTTGCCTGAGGTCACACAATTAGTTATTATCAAAGACATAATTTGAAACCAATGCCTCCATCCAGTCTCACCCCTCCTCTAGACCCTCACTCCTCCCCCTCCCATGTTCCTCTGCTCTCCTGCCTCCGCTCTTCTCTTCCCCCACCCCCCACCCCGTGTTCCCCGGCTCTCCTGCCTACCCCTCCCATTCCCGCTCCCCTCACCTGTGCACGTAGTTGTGGGCATGCAGGTGAGCCAGCCCTCGGGCGATCTCCAAGCCCATTCTCTGCAGGGTGCGCAGGTCTCTGGGAGGTAGCTCGGGGGAGAGGCCCTCTGGGGGCCTCTGGGCCCTCAGGTAGCGCTTCAGATCTCCCTGGTGAATAGGAAAAGGGGTCAGGGTCAGCCCGGTTCCCCCTGCCCCCCCAGAGATCCCTCCAATCATCTCTGTGAGAGATGCCCTGGTCCCTGGACAGTGAGAGCCCCTGCCCGCCTCCCCACTGTCAGCCAACTGCATGCTTTGAAAGTTGAGGAGGGAGCTGTGTGACCACAGACCAGTCTCCCAACTTTTCTGGGTCCCAGGCTCCTGCTCTGTACCAAGAAGGGGGATGACGTCGGTCATCACCCCCAGGGACCCCCAAGTTTCTACAGCATGGCCTCAATGGAGATACAAGAGGGGAACCCACCAGCTGGCAGAACTCCATAATGAGAAGGAAGGGGAGGGTCTCGGCACACAGCCCCAGGCACTGGAGGACGTTGGGGTGATGCAGGCTCCTAGGGGTCAGACCGTGGGTCAGGGGGCACCCGAGGCTCTCACCAGCCCCTGGGGCCAGCAGGCAGCTCCCTTGGCCCCACTTCCAGCATACAAAAGCCTGAATGTACCTGCCCTGGCCCAGTGTGGGATGTGGGGCAGGTCAGGGTACACATAATTCTCGCCCGCCCCCCCCATCCCAGACCTCTGGAGCTCTAGGTCTGAGACTTAACATTTCAAGGATCCAGATACTGGCTCTCATTCCTTGACCAGATCCAAATGTCCAGCCCCTGTCCACAGCCAGGAACCCAACCACCTAGCTCTCTGCCCTGTGTGACTGAGTCTCCCGCCCTCCGAAGGGCAGTGGACTTCCCCCTAACCCCTGCCTGCTCAGGGCCCTTAGCATCCCCAACATTCAGCTCCCTGGTCACCATAAGCCATGGAATCCAGAACCTGGCCCCTCAAGCCGTGTTACCTGTAAGGCTGAGCCTCTGAGAGAAACTTCCGCTGCTCCAGTGGTCCAGCACTGACCCTCAGCTCCTTCACCACCACCTGGGCTGGACTGAAATCTGCGAAGATCTCCCCTAGAATGACCTGGGTGGGATGGAGGTGGCCATCACCCTAGGTTCCCTTTCTCCTCTCCCACAGCCCCTCCCCCTGCCATCATGAAACCCCTTAATTTCACGGCCCCGTGTCTCATGCCATTCCCATGCCCGTGCACATAGTGGGCACTCAAGATTTACTGACCCACCCCATTTCCCACCACCCAGCCAAAGACTCACGAGCAGAGAGGCAGATGGACGGAGGGACGGATGGAGGGATGGGCACACGGACGTGTGGACAGCTGGGCAGCGAGACAGAGCAGCCGATGGAGGGATGGAGGGAGGAGCTGACGGACAGATGAGGGGATGGAGGGATGGGATGAGCGGAAGGGAAGAGGAAGAACAGGAGAAGGAAGCTGGACCCTGACCTGGGAAGGGGGGGGGACAGAGAGACAATGGGAAGGCTGGGAAGGGCCCTGGGTCAGGAGGCAGGAGATGGGGCACATTCCTTGACCTCTCTGGGCCTCAGGTCCTCTTTTGTAAAATTAAGGGGTTGGATTAGATCGGCCTTTCCAGCTCTAAAGTCCTGTGATCCTGCTAGGTGGATAGAGATTGGGAAGTGAGAGATACAGGGATCAGAAATGGGGGTCACGGAGAGATGGGGGACAGAGGGGTGGAGGGAGGCGGAGGTGCACAGCAGGACAGAGATGGTAAGTGGTGAGAGGCGGGATGGCGAGGAGCTGGATGCCGGGCCAGAGGAGAGTGAGCAGAGGGGGCTCGGAGGGACCCCCACCCCAGCCCTCGCCGGCCTCACTCACTTTCCCAAACCAGCCGCTGCCGATCTCCTGCAGGTAGCTGAGGTGCTGACGGCTCAGGCCCAGAGGGGTGCCCAGGTCTAAGGTAAAGGCAGCGAATGAGGGGCTCCAGACTCCCCCAGGACTTCCCTGCTTACCTCCCACCCCGCTGAAGAGGAGAAATCCCGAGGAGCAGCTGTGCTGTTCCAGGATCTTCCTGATCCCTCCCCGGCCAGCCCCAGGCTCTCCTATCGGGCCAAATCCAGCCCTGGCTCCCCGACCGGCCGCAGCTTCAGCTGCTGGCTGGCCTCGGCTCTAGCCTTAGGCACTGGGCACTATTCCATCGCCTTCCTTCTTTGTGTTACCTGACCGGGCAGGCTGGGGAGCGGGCATCGGCAAGGAGACCTCGGCCAGCGGAAGGATGTAGACATCGGGCAGTGACTGAGAGGAAGAAGTCTCCTCCGCGGGGGGGGTGTACTCTCCCGAGCACTCTTCTCCCTCCGGGTTCTCAAACTCCTGGGGTCCGAGGGCATAGGACAGAGGTAAGCATGGGGCCCTGAGGGATCCCGCACTGCCCACCTCGGGATACTTCCACCCTCTTCCAGGAGGAGCACCCTCGCGCCCTTCCGCAGGCTCTCAGGTCCTCAAGGCAGGGCAGGGGGCCTCTGCACCCCACCCTCTTCACCTTGAAGCCAACATCCCCCCGTTTGCAGCAGAGACAGGTGAGGAGGAGGAAGACAAAGGCCAAGAGTCCAGAGCAGGAGATGAGAACCACAGCATAGGGCGGAGCCAAGGGACCCTGGCCTGGGAGCAGTCCATCTGGGACAGAAGGGGGAGAGGAGGAAGGAAAAGGTCAGAAGCCAGAGCTCCCCGGCCACGGAGGGGTGGGTAGGGGACACGTTTCTCCTTCCACTGGTACTACCCTCCTCCAGCTGCTGCCCAGGTACAAACTACAACTCCCATACTGCAGTGGGGCCAGTGGCCCTTCAGCAGAATAGCCAGGGGTACTGTGGGAGCCGGGGTCTGGGGTCTCATCAGGTGGCAGGTTTCAGAGACGAACAGATCCCCAGTTGGATCCGTGGGGCAAGGGGTCTTCCCTGCCTCCCCCTCCCCCCCAACACACCAGTTCTCCCGCTGAAGCTGGCACGTTCTGGGGAAGGGGACTAGTGAGGGACAGGGAGGGGTCAAGGCTAGCCCCTTCACACCTCGGACCCTGTCCCCTTCATCTTGTGTCCACTTTCCCACCCTCCCAGCTGATGTCCATCTGGGGACTACAACTCCCATGGTACCGTGGAGCCAGTAACCAGTCAGCAGAGCATAAGTAAGGCATCAGGCATCATGGGAATTGTAGTTTCAAGCCTCCCCAGGTGAATGGGTTGGGGGCAGCACTGGGGTGGGGGGGGGGCCCTCATCTTCATTCAGATTCCCCATCCTAGGTCCCAGGTCCCATCCTCCCTCAGACTCTAGTCTGGTGTCTATTTGTGTTGGGGTAGGCAAGAGAGGACGGACGGGGAGAGGGAAGAGGGGAGCAGGCCAGGCCCATCTCCATCCAAATTAAGACATCTCCTCCCCAGGTCCTGGACCCTGCCTTTGAAGGCCTCTGCATTAGGGCAGCTGGGCCGGTGGCTTTCTGTGACCTCTAGATTATCAAGAAAGCCCCCCCAACTTGAACCCTCCCGAAGGCTGGGCCCCCCACCCCACCCCCACCCCTTAGGCTCTACCCGCACACCCCAGGCCCCTGGCTCCAAGACAAACAGGTGAGGGAGAAGGAGCTGGGGGATGAACGGCTGGGTGGAAACAAATAGATCCATGGGGAAGGGGCCAGGGGACAGCTGAGTAGACTCACCGGGGTGGGCCGGGGTGGCCAGGCAGGAAGCAGAGAGAGCCAGGAGAACGAGGGGGCTGGGGGAAGGCATCTTGTCTAAGATGGAAGGGAGGAGGAGGAGGAGGTGGTGGTGGCTGGGGAGGGAGGGGGGTCCCCGGAGCTCTGGGGAGGGAGGAAGGGGAGGGGGGGAGACGGGTCCCTCAGCCCCCAGCCATGGGGACTCAGGCGTCCCTGACCTCCCCCTGGCCCAGGGGAGGGGGACAGGAGGGACCGGACTGGGGGAGGGAGGGCTCGATGTATGAGCCCAGGCCGCCACAGGCCCCCCCTCTCTGTAGGGACAGCCGGATGAGGGGGAGGGAGAGACCTACGGAGGAGAGGAGCCAGGGAGCTGGGGTGGTTGGGGTGGGGGGGAGAGAGGGTGGGATTGTGGGGGGGTGGGGGGCAGATGGATGGGGGCCCCGCCCCCGACGGCAGCCCGGATTGGGGAAGCTGAGAGCCTGTCAGGAGAAGGGTAGGAGGCGGGAGGATGGAGGGAGGATGGAGGAGTTGTCATGGCAACCAGCTCTGGGTAGCATCAGCAACCAGGGCGGGGAGGGGAAGAGAATGATAGATACAGAAGAGAGGGAGATGCAGATCCACGCACCACTCATACACACATCCTGCATTACACACCAGCCATCCTGAGAATGCACGCTTAGGCACATGCACACGTTCCAGACAGACATGCATTCAGACATATGCACACACCATACAGACATACACAAGACATGCACATTCCCACATAGCATATAGACTGAAGGCCTTTATGTGCATCCTTACATGTCATAGAGATATACCATAGAGTAATACTCATTCCCACATCATGCACGTACTCACTTCTCACAGACGTAGCCCAAACACATGCTTCAGACTCTCTCTCTCTCTCTCCCTCCCTCTCCATTTTCCTCTCTCTCTCTGTATTTCTTCTCCCTCTCCTCTCCTTCCCTCCTCTCTCTCTCCATTTTCTTCCTCTCTTTTTCCTCTCTCTCTGTCTTTCTTTCTTCTCCCTCTCCTCTCCTCTCTCTCTCCTTCCTTCCTTTTTTCTCTCTTTTTCTTCCTTTCTTCCTCTCTCTCCTCTTTTCTTCTCTCTCTTCTCTCTCTTTCTTTCACATACACACACACACACACACACACACACACACACGCACCAGACACCCAGATCCCACAGACTCAGCACAAATATTTTCCATATGCCCCCATATTCACACACACAAGCATATATGTGCTCACATCACAGATCTATATGTATAAGCATAATCCAGTAGAAAACGTTTCCCACTCCTTGCACACATCACAGACATACATACTCATGTATCACACATGGAGGCAGACGTGCCCTTTAACTCAAGGCTCTGCCTCCTGGGTCCATTTCTCTTCTTCCTCTACACTATTTCCCTTGGTGATCTCATCACTCCCAAGGATTTAATTATCATCTCTGCTCATAATTCTCAAATCTACCCATCCTGCCCCAATCTCTCTGCTGATGGACCTCCAATTTCACACTTCCAATGTGAATCTCCAATCGCCTAACCCTAACCCTAACCCTAACCCTTTCAGATGACTTGAACTGGATGTCCAGTAGACCCTTAAACTCAATATGTCTAAAACAGAACTCATTCTCTTTCCCCTAAACCCTCCCCTACCTCCTATCTTCCCTATTACTGGGGAGGACACCTACCTTCCCAGTCCCTCAGGCCCCCACCTAGGAGTCATCCTGGACTCCTCACTCTCACCCCCAGATCCAATATGGTGCCCGAGCCTGTCGATTTCACCTTTGTAACATCTCTTGTATACATCTCCTTCTCTCCTCTGACACTGCCTCCACCCTGGTGCAGACCCTCATCACCTCCTGCTGGGGTTATTTGCAACATCCGCTGGGAGGGTCTGCCTGCTTGCATTTTCTCCCTCGTCCCAATCTGTCCTCCATTCAGCCACTATGTTGACTTTCCTAAATCGAAGGTCCAACCATGTCACCCCCTAATCAAGAAACTCCAGTGGCTCTCAGTCACCTCTAAGATCAAATGCAGAATGCTATGTTTGACATTCAAAGCCCCTCATAACCTCCCCCACTCCCACCTTTCCATTTTTCTTACATCTTACTCTCCAACACTTAATCTTGGATGCAGTGACATTGGCCTCCTGGCTGTTCTGACTACTGACTTCCCTGGCTTCCTTTAAGTCCCAAATGAAAACTCACCTTCTACAGGAAGCCTTCCCCAACCCTCTTAATCCCAATGCCTTCTCTCTATTAATTATTTCCTATTTATTATTTATATAACTTGCTTTACCTATTTTTGTTTGCCTGTTGTCTCTCCCATTAGATTGTAAGGTCCTTGAGGGTAGGACCATTTTTGTCTCTTAGCACAATCCCTAGCACAAAGTAGGTGCTTAATAAATGTTTATTGATTGGTTGATTGGTTAAATCACACCCTCAGACCCAGGTAACACTGTAGGTACTCAAATACTTGAACAATAAATACACACACATCCCTCAGAAATTCACTCATCATTCACTTGCACACACCTAAATAGAGATTCCTTCTGCTTTCCTTGGTGAAACTTCCAGCTAAAATCCTGGTCAAAGAGTCCAAAGCTTCCGTGAGGGATTGCAAGGGGTGAATGAGATACCTGGGACCCTAAGACCTCGTTGCAGAAACTGAGGCACAGTGAGTAGGCAAGGTTGGGGTGGGGAGGGAGGATGGGCTGTAGGCTATCTGGAGAAACTGGAGCCAGTCGGGGTAGGGTGGAAGGAGGTTGAAAAGTCTGATGGAAGTGGAGACTCCTGGCCTCCAGTCTGATGAAGATGGTGGCTCCTTGTGTGAATTCAGAAAGCACAGAGTTCCAGAGCTGGGCAGGACCTAAAGGAATTTCATGGAATTTCATCCACTCACTTTACAGATGGAGAAACTGAGGCAGAGAGAGAAAGGGACTTAGTTCCCTTGAGCTCAGAGTACCCAATCAGAAGCAGGTTGATGGCTCCTGACAAGTGGCACAATGCGAGAGGAAGAACTTTAGCCTCTTTGTGAAACAGCCTTGGAAGAGTCCTTTTCCAATTTCACACTTTGCCCTCCCCCAGGTATTCTGTGGTTCAGTGGCTGTGGCCTCCTGGCTCTTCCTTGCACAGGAGTCTCCGTCTCCTGTCTCTAGGCATTCGCTCTGGCTGTGCCCATCCCCAGGACTTCTGCAGGAAGCCTTTTCTGATCCCCCTCAATTCTAGTGCCTTCCCTCTGATTATCTGTGATCTATTCTGTCTGTGTCTTCTGTTCATAGCTGTTGGCTGATTATCTCCCCAGTTATACTGGGAGCTTCTTGAGGGGATTAGCCTAGTGCCTAGCACTCAGTAGGAGCTAAACTGAATGCTTCTTGACTTGACTTGCCAAGCTGGAAGCCTCCCTCTGAGCGGACACTGGCCCACATGACTACCTTCTAAAGTCGAAACATCACTCCGTGGAACCTCTTATCTGAAGGGATCAGACTGCTCTCCGGTCCTCACAGACAGGCCCAGAAGTCAAGGGGAGAAAGTGGAAAAGTTAGGCAGATTTGGGCTGGATGTCAGGAAGAATTCACACTGAGAGCTGCTGCAAAGTGCCTCCTCCGAGGGCAAGACCAAGGCTGGACACGGCCTGGGCGCTTCTCATTTGGGCTCCACGGTCAGGAGGCTGAGCCTTCCAGGCTGAAAGGAGGCTCCTCGGGTCTCTGAGGCCCTCTGAGTGGGCCAGTTTTGCCCCAAAGTCATGCCTCTCAAGCAGAAGTCTCAGCTCCCCTTAGGGGACACAGGAGAGCCTGTGATTCTGAGTTTTAGACACCCAAATCCCAGAGGAAATGGGAAGCTGGAGGGGGAGGAGGGGGAGGAGGAGGACTGTTTGTGTGATGGACCTCAGCAGAGATGCCTCCTGGGGACCACCGAGCCTGGGAGAGGAATGGAAGATGGGGGTCTGGGCTCTGAAAGGGACCTCCGCAAAGGTGACAGCTGGGAGACGCTAAGTTAGGCAACCCTCAGGGATATCCAGAGCAGAAGCAAGAGGTGGGCAGCCCAGGTGGACTGCTGCTTTCCTCCGGCTCTCAAAACCTACTAATACTGGGGTTCAACAAATCTGAGAATGGCGTAAGTTTCTAGGAGTTAGGACTGGGAAGACCTTTAGGAATCCTCTGGAGACCGATGAGTCCAATACCCTTATTTTGAGGAGAGGGAAACTGAGGCTCAGAAATTGAAAGGGATTTCTGTTGTGTGAAATAAGGTATACCAAGAGCTGGGTCTCCAATGCTCTCGCCCTGCAGCACTCAGCAGGCTCTTCCTGCTAGCCTGTGGGGGAACAGAGTAGGCTCTTAATAAATGTTTATTGATTAATTGATGGGATTTTCTCCTTCTAAAGGAATTCAAAGCTCTCTGGCAGAGCTAGCAGTCTATCATTCTAGAATCACCATGTGACCTTGGGAAAGTCCCTTCTCGTGGCTGGGACTCAATTGTCACATCTGAAAAAAAGGTCCCTGGACCAGATGAGCTAAGACACTTCCTTCCCCCCACTGCCCTCCCACCTCCCGCCACCCAGAGCTCCCTGGTCTCCTCGGGGCCCGGGGCTCTTTGGAGGGGAGTGACTGGCGCCGGCCAAATCCGCAACCTTGCCCCGGGCTGCCTGCCTTCTGTTCGCTGCAGGAGCTGGGACCAATCAGGCCCAGCTAAGGCTCTATGACGTCACCGGTCACCGGGCAGGCTCCTGTCAATGCAGCGGAGAGCCCTCCTCCCTGAGGCCCCCACCCCCTCTGCCACTACACCTAGACCCCGCAGGACCCATGAGTGGCGGGGGTTCTGTGAGAGCCTGTGAGCAGGAGAGACAGAGAGAGAAAGAACAGAAGGCGAGAGGCCCAGAGAGAGACCCTGGGAGATGAAGGGAGAGACAGAAATGGAGAGAGGCCAGAGAAGACATTGAGAGGAGGGGTGACAGAGACGAGATACTGAGGAGAGCAAAGACCGATGGACACTTAGAGCAGGACAGAGAGAAGCCAAGACAGAGAAATCCGGAGAGACAGAGACAGAGGGAGAAGAAGAGAGAGGGGGAGAGACAGAGA